AGCTGCTACTCTGAAATGTGTCAGACCTGTTCAATTGTTTGTACAGTAGAACCTCAAAGCAAGCACAGAAACAGTTTCTTTACTTTGTTAAATCTTTTTTTAAACTTGTTTTTACTAGTTTACATTTAACTCAATACTGTTCAGCACAGTATTTGCTTTTTTTTTTTTTTGGTCTCTGCTGTTTGCGTACTTCTAGTTCCAAATGAGCTACGTGGTTCACCTGTCAGTTTGAAACTCTGAGGTTCTACTGTAAATGACAACAGACACAGAGTATCTTGTATGCAGTGTAGTTTACTCCTCGGAGAATTATGCAATGAAAAATTAAACATTCTTTGCACAATATTTTATTTGTCAAAATAATACAATATAATCATGCCAGTTTCAATTATTTTGATAATTTATTTCAAAATACCTGTCAGCAAGTACCGTATATACTCATTCATAAGCCAAATGTTTTTAGTAAAAAAGGGAAGCATGAGAGAAGGGGGTCGGCTTATGAACGGGTATAGAGAGGGAGAGGTGGGACACAGCCCCTCCCCCCAACAGAGGGAGCAAGGAGAGGCAGCACAGCCAGCAGAGACAGAAGGGAAGAGGCGGGGCCAGAGTCTCTCCACTTCTGGCCACGCTGCTCTCCCCCCAGCCTCCAAAGCAGCTGCAGCTCTGAGGCTGGCAAGCTGTGGCCGTGCCGCCCAGCCCCGCCTGCTGGAATACGCTGCAGCCGCACCGCTCAGCCCCGCCCTCCAGAGCACGCTGTGGCCGTGTCGCCCGGTCTGGCCCGCCGGAGCAGGCTGTGCCCATGCTGTCCAGCCTGCCGGAGCAGCTCCAGCCAGGCCAGAGACATCCTCACCTGGCCCGCCCCAGCTAAGGTGGAAAGGGATGGGATGGGGAGAGTGTGAGGGGCCTGGGCTAGGGGTGGGGTCATGTGGGGGGTGATCATGGGGTTACTCCCCTGACCCCCAGCTTCTCCCCCCCCCCAAATTTTCCTACCAGTTGCTGTCCCGGCCCATCAGGGTAACCCGCTGGCAGGCTGGGACACTTTGTTTACTTAGGTTTACCTCCATGCCTGCGGACGCTCGAGGTAAACAAACCATCTCGGCCCGCCAGCGGCTTATCCTGATGGCCCGGGAGCCAAAGTTTGCCGACCCATGAATTATAGGGTCGGCTTATGAATGGGTCATAAAAAAATTCCATTTTTACTTATCCATCTTGGGGGGGTCAGCTTATAAACAAACCGGCTTATGATTGAGCATATACGGTATGTCTGTAACAATATAGGAAACAAAAAAATTCAGGAAATGTTTTTTGACAAATAGATTACTTATTAGGCATATTAATACCGGCAGATCACCTGCAGAAACACTGCCGAATCCGCATGACCAGCAGACCGCCCACAGGCGTGCCGCCGAAGGCCGCCTGACTGCCGTGCTTGGGGTGGCAAAAAACATAGAGCCGCCCCTGAATAGAAATCAAGGGTAGATGTTAAGTGTATTTGTCTGTTTACCTATATCTTGTTAGAAGTTTAACAATGTAACCAGATTAGCTTGTAGATGCTAATTCCCTTTCATGTCTTAATTGCCTTATATTATGCACGCACATGGTTCTGTTAACCTTAAGATCGAATATGTAAGATACTACAGGAAACTAATAATATTATCTATGTTGTCTTCAGCTTAACTATCTATGCTATAATGAAGTACTGACTGATTGCCTTATGTGAATGAGTGAAACTAGTTTACCTGTGTATGCATAGGAAATAGAAGATTAGCTTGAAAGCAATGATCCACTGACAATCTGCACTGTCTATTCTTCCTGGGGGGAAGGTCCTGCTTTGACAAGAGGCTTCTCAGCTAGCTAGAGAGCTATAAAGGGCCTGATCCTGCCATCTCTAGTCTGCTTAAACTTTGAACAGGGAAAGTATAAGTCATAAAATGGAGATCTTCCAAATAATTATTTGGAATATCCTGGAAAATGCATGGAAAAACTTTAACAGACATTACATCTAAGCTGCCTTTGGATTCGGACCTGAATCCAGAAAGACTTTTATAAACATCTCTGCTATGAAACTGTCCTGAGGACTTGACACATATTGGTATGTATATTGATCTTTTAACCATTTGCAACTGTCATTCTTTTTCCTTTTATTATTAAACCTTTAATTTTAGTTACTAAAGTATTGGCATCAGCATAATTATTGGGTAAGAACTGAGACTCATATTGGCCTGGGGCTAAGCGTCCGATCCTTTGGGATTGATGAACCTCACATATGATGAATCAGGTTTTCAGTAACCCCTCACTATATTAGATTGAGCATAAGTTTCATGGGCTACAGTGGGGCAAGGCTGGCGGGGTGGGGGAGGCTGGCTGGGGCTGGGTCCCTGCACTTTCCGCCACCCTGCTGCACTCCTCAGGGGTGGGAAGAGGTGGGGCTGGAGCGGAGCAGGGGCAGGAAGAGGCGGGGCTGAGGCAGGGCAGAGGTGGGGGGCCTGGGGAAGAGGCAGGGAAGGGCAGGGGCTGGAGCAGCAAGCAGCTGCACAGGGCACCAGGAAATTTGCGTATGGGTAAGGACCTGACTATAATGATAGTTGAATACTGGAATAGGCTTCGAAGGGAGGTTGCGGAATCCCCTTCATTGGATGATTTTAAGACCGGACTGAACAAACACCTGTCAACGATGATCTAGATTTACTTCAAGGAGTCCGCTGGCACCTTAAAGACTAACAGATTTATTTGGGCATAAGCTTTTGTGGGTAAAAAACCCACTTCTTCAGTAAGTGGGTCTGAAGAAGTGGGTTTTTTACCCACAAAAGCTTATGCCCAAATAAATCTGTTAGTCTTTAAGGTGCCAGCGGACTCCTTGAAGTAAATCTAGATCATCGTTGACAGGTGTTTGTTCAGTCCGGTCTTAAAATCATCCAATGAAGGGGATTCCGCAACCTCCCTTCGAAGCCTATTCCAGTATTCAACTATCATTATAGTCAGGTCCTTACCCATACGCAAATTTCCTGGTGCCCTGTGCAGCTGCTTGCTGCTCCAGCCCCTGCCCTTCCCTGCCTCTTCCCCAGGCCCCCCACCTCTGCCCTGCCTCAGCCCCGCCTCTTCCTGCCCCTGCCCCGCTCGAGCCCCACCTCTTCCCTCCCCTGAGGAGTGCAGCAGGGTGGCGGAAAGTGCAGGGCCCCAGCCCCAGCCAGCCTCCCCCACCCCGCCAGCCTTGCCCCTTTGTAGCCCATGAAACTTATGCTCAATCTAATATAGTGAGGG